GTAAAAGCACTTGCTCTGAGAGCTTGGTGACCTGAGTCTGATTCTCAGAGGTCACCGTAGAGAAAAGTGATCCAGGAAAGTAGTTTTCCTCTGATCCCTTCCCACTCCTCTCACACACACAAATAATACATACGTAAATAATAAAAAACTTTTAGAAGAATGGGAAGGGTTAAGAGACTATCAATATGTTCTGTTCAGATCTGGGGGCCATGAAGGCTTGTTACTCTCCAGTTTGGACTGATCGCTTTTGCTTTTTCTCTCCCTTTCCTTCCTGGGGGCAGGGGGTCCACAGCAGTTTACATTTACTGTTTCTCTGTGAATTTGAGTTTGAAAGTCAGTACCAGTGTATGAGTTACTTTTCTGTTGCTGTGATAGAAACAACATGACCAAGGGAACTTATAAAAGGAAGAGTTTATTTGAGCTTACAGTTCCAAAGGGATAAGAATCCATCATGGCGGGGAGGCACGGCAGCAGAGGTGCTTGGAGGGGGAGTGGAAGTTAAGCTCTCACATCTTCAAGCTTGCTTGAGATCCAGCAAGGTTTAAGACTCTCTAAGCCCACCCCCAGTGAAGTACTTCCTCCAGCATGGCCACACCTTCTAAGACCTCCTAAAACAGTACCATGAACTGGGGACAAGATGTCCCAAGTTGGAGCCTGTGGGAGACAGTCTCACCCAAACCCACAACCAGCTTAATCTAGACACAGTGCCTGAATAGCTTGTATTTCATTATTAGGAACTCACTCTCTCTTAGCTGGTGACTTCTCTTCCAAACTAAGGAGAGAGTCTATGCTTTGTTACTGTTTGAGGCCCAGGTTGGCCTCAAATTTACACTCTTCCACTTCAGCCTTGCGAGTGCTGGGCTTATACAGTTACATGCTCCATAACTGGCTATTTTAAATTTCTTTTTTTATTTTTTTGGTCTTTTAAAAATTATTATATTTTATGTGTATGAGTGTATTGCCTGCATGTATGTAAGTGCACCCATGTAGTGCAATGCACAGAAGAGGCTATCGGATCCCCTGGAACTGGAATTACAGACAGTTGTTAGCTGTCATATGGGTGCTGGGATTCAAATCCAGGTCTCCTGCGAGAATAGCCAGTGTTCTTAAGCGCTGACCCATCTCTCCAGTCCCATTTTTTGGTCTTTTTGAGACAGGGTCTCCCTGTAACCCCAGCTGGCCTGGAACTTACTATGTAGACCAAGCTGGTCTTGAATTCACAGAGTGCCTCTGCCTCCTGAGTACTGAGTTTAAAGGTGTGCACAATCACACTTGGCTGACCCTGGGTATTATTTTAATGATTGTCTTTTCCTTTAAAAATCTTTAACAGTTACTCTAAAAACATCAGAAATTTGGTTGTGTTTTCTTCAGAGCAGGTCACAGATCTATGTTGCATTAGTATAATGTACTTTCCTGCTCTCTTTTGTGTGTGCACACAGATGTGTGGATGTGGGGGGTTCGAACCAGTGACCCCCAGCGCAGAGATGATTGGGGATGAGTAAGCACGCCTTTCGCCAGCCCACGCTGCCCCCAGTACCGGGGACACTCAGGCGCAACGGGGAGTCTAGTCAAGCAGGGACTCATTTATTGCAGGTGTTACAGAGCTTATAAAGGCACCTGGAACTCCCCCCCACCCCAGGGTGTATCTTAAGGATGGTCACGTGCTGATCATGCACTCCTCAGCAGTGCGGAAGTATTCTTCAGACTTTCAAAACAAGCCAGGCTGTGCCCCCAGTAACTTCCTATCAGACCTATGCAAGGTGGGGCCTTTAGGTCCCCACGTGGAGGCCAGAGGAAAACCTTGGGGGTTGTTCTTCAGGAAGGCTGTCCACCCTATTTTTTTAAAGAGAGAGAGAGAGAGAGAGAGAGAGAGAGAGAGAGAGAGAATGCTCTGACCTCCACACATGCACCATGTCCCCATACATTCTAGGGTCCACCTGTCTCTGTTTCTCCAGGAGCGATTACAAGCACCAACCGATTTGGCTTTTTCCCCCCATGGGTGTGTGAACTCAGGTCCTTGTATTTGCATGGCAAATACTTTGTTGACTGAACCATCTTCCCAGCCCTTTTGTTTCTTTTAAAAGAACATTTACTGGGGCTGGAGAAATGGCTCAGTGCTTAAGAGCACTAGCCGTTCTTGCAGAGGACCCAGGTTCAATTGGCTGACAACCATCTGTAACTCCAGTTTCAGGGGATCCAATGACCTTTTCTGACCTCTGTGGGCATCGCACAACATCAGTGCACTTCAAATACATGCAGGCAATACACTCATAAATGCACATAAAATAATAGTAAACATTTATTGTTTTTGAGGGGATCGAGAAGTGGCTCAGTGGTTAAAAGTCCTTGCAGAGGACCTGGGTTCCATTCTCAGCACCCACATGGTGGCTAACAACCTTCAGTAATTTCAGTTCTAGGGGATCAGATGCCCTCTTCTTCTGGTCTCCATGGGTACTGCATGCATGGGACCACTTAGGTACATGCAGGAAAAATATTCATACCCATAAAATAAAAAAAAATTTAATTAAAAATTGTTTTTGAGACAGATTCTTAGTATGTAGCCTAGGCTAGCCTCAAACTAATGACCCTTTGCCTCGGCCTCCCAAGTGATAGGGTTGCCTGCTTGTGCCACTATGTCCCCATCCTCCTCTTTTTAAGAGAACTTCCCTTTTCTTTGAGTGGGCTAGCTGCACACATAAGAAGTTTCTCCATTAGGGCCAGTAAGATGGCTCAATGGGAAAGGGTGCTTGCAACCAAGCCCAGTGACCTCAGTTTGATCCCCAAGACCAACACGGTAGAAGAGGACAACCAGCTACTGCAAGTTTTCCTCTGACCTCCACACCAGCACATGTGCTATGGCACACATACACACACACACACACACACACAGAGTAAATAAATAAATAAATAGTTTCTCCGTTAGACCAAGATCTCCTATTAGGAGAGGCATGACATGAACAGACTGGGCTTTTGTTTGGGTATGTGTATGTGGTATGACAGTGCAGGTGCCTGGGCATCAAGTATGTTCCCCTATTGCTCTTTGCCTCATTAGCTTGAGACAGGGTTTTTCACTAAACCCAAATGTTGCTGCGTCAGCTAGCTGGGTGGCCAGCCAATGAGTTCTCAGATCTACCCGTCTCTGCCTCTTAATGTTGAGGTTAAAGACATGTGTAGCTATGCCTGGCTTTTTATGTGGGTGCTAAGGATTTGAACTCGGGTCCCCATGCTTGCAGAGCAAGCACTCTTACCCACTGAGCCATCTCCTGAGACCCAACAGACTAGGTATGGTGGCATATGCCTTTAATTCTAGCACTTGGGAGGCAGAGGCAGGCAGATCTCTGTGACACTGAGGTCAGCCTGGTCTCCATAGCAAGTTTCAGGCCAGCTGTGGCTACAGGGAGACCCTGCCTCAAAAAGACCAAAAAAAAAAAAAAAAAACCCAAAATTAATAATTAAAAAAAGAATGGGGACTTTATTTGGCATCCAATAAACCTTTCTTTTGCAGCAACGTTTTACAATGAATGCATTTCCTGAATGGCTTTAAGATAGATGAAACCAGTCATCATGGAATCGAATCCCTATGAACAGGGTTATAGTATTCTGTTCTTACTCTACCTGGGAAGCAAGGGAAACTGTCGAAAAGCTAGCCACTCATTCCTTGTTTTCCTATATCATTCTGCACTTCTCTCATTAAACACTTATCATGCCATTGTAGTCAATTATTTAATAACACTATCTTCCTTTGTAACTGGATACTCTTATCAGGGGTAATGATGTTTTGGTTTTCATTATGAGTGGCCTGTGGGGAAATGGGTCAGTAAATACTTCCGTTATTCAGGCTACCCTAAAACCTGGCATAAAGCACAACATCAAATGATGCGAACAGAGGACAGCAGCCACACCAATGAAGAGGAGACACACAGCTAAACGAACCAATGAGGATCGGGCGGGGGGGAGGGGTTATAAAAGAAAACCCTAACGGCACAATAAACGAGCTTGCTTGCTAACTGCCGAGTGAGTCTCCCGAAATCTGCACAGTTAATTTCGAGCCTACTCTCCCCCCGCCCCCAACGGAGAGTCCTCAGGTAGCTAGCCCACTAAGGCAGGCAACAACAGTGGCCCAATGCCTAGACAGCATCCACCATTCACTGGGTTCTTACATCAATTTAGTGAAAGAAAAGAGAGCAGATATTTGGTTTGCTTCAGTTTGAAAATTTGAAAGATTCATCAGTAGATGTTTGATCTAGTGCCTTTAGTGCCTTATCTAGTCTTTTTTAAAAAATATTTTATTATTTTTATTTTATGTGTATGAGTGTATTGCCTGCGTGCACGTTGAGTGTACCCGTGTCATGCAATGCTGTGGAGGTCAGAAGAGGGCTTCGGATTCCCTTGGAACTGGAGTTAAGGAAAGTTTGTAGCTGCCATGTGGGTGCTGGGAAACGAACCTGGGTCCTCTGTCAAGAGTAGTCAGTGCTCTTAACCTCTGAGCCATCTCTCCAGCGCCCCCCCTTTTTTTTTTCGGGAGAGGATCTAAATATTTAGCCCTAAAATGGTTTGGAATGCCCTATGTAGAGCAGTCTGGCCTTGAACTCAGAGTTCTGTCTGGCTAGATGTCCTGGCCTTTTGCTTCTTTATGTGTATGTGTGTGTGTGTGTTTGCCTGTGTATACGAAGCCCAGAGGGCAACCTTCAGGTCTCATTCCTCAGGAGCTACCCATCTTTTGTTTTTCGAGACAGGTTCTCTCACTGACCTGGAACTCAAGTAGGCTACGCCCCAATTAACCTGCGAGCCTCAGGGATTGTCCCCATCATACCTAGTGCTGAGATTATAAACCCGAGCCCCACTTCTGGCTTTTTTACATAGGTTCTAGGGATTGATTTCATGACTTCAAGCATGTACGACATCTTCCCTGCATGTAAGTGCACTGCCTTGTACAATGCCCATGGAGGCCAGAAGGTATCAGATCCCCTGAAACTGGACTTACAGGACCTGTGGGTGCTAAGAACCAAACCCTGGTTCTTTGCAAGAGTAGCCAATGCTCTTAACCACTAAACCATCTCTCTAGCCCTAGGTTCCAAGTTTTTTGAAAGAGGGACCTGCTTCATCTTGGGCTGGCCTGAAATTTGTACTTCTCTCACTTTCGGCTTCCAGAGTGCTGGGATTAGAGTGCTGGAATTTCAAATGTGCATCACAACTGATTTGGCTTCAGATTCTTGACCTATACATGCAAAATTCAGAACCACAGGTTAGGGCTGCTTTTTCTTTTCTTTTCTGTGATTTAGTCTAAATTCCAGCGTCCATCAGGTATATCGAACCTTTTGACATGGCATTGTCATCTACAAAGCCCACACTTGAAATATAAAAAACAAACTTCCAAAACAGATTTCAAGTTTCAGTAAGTTCATTGGCTGAATGCAGGCTGGACTTGCCTACGAGGGGGACCCTGCTACTACGTTCTCCTGACCAGTCACGGTGGAGAACACCGACTCAAAAGATGCTTCTGGTCCGGGAGAGGTTGGAGGGTGCTGTTACTATGAAAACCGAAGAGCATTTAAGTGCACCAGCGGCAGACCTTGCTGACCACAGCCACGTAGCGGGATGCAGGCGGCTGGGCGTGCACTGACTACGGCGGAGTGTTCCGCGAACGCTCACGGGACACTCAGTTCGCCCGCGAGGTTGCTCGAGGCTAGCCCGTAGCATCCTCTCTCCAGACCCTGCCTCACCAACTCGCAGCAGGCCGAGAGCCGCGCGTCTGGAGGTCCGGCATTTTCAACAGCCGGTGACGCCAAGAGGATCTTTAGGAGCAGAAGGTGGGTCCGGAAGGAGACGGGATTGTACAGTGCTAGGGCTGAGTCGTGGGCGGCTCGAAGCGAGGCCCGAGAGGGTGGTCCCTGCGTCCTAGGGCAAAAAGCCGCGCGCGGTTCCGCTCACGGCCGCTTCGGCCACCTCCGGGGAGTTTCGGCTCTTTCCGTCAGTTCCCGCTCAGCCCACACTTCGGGCGCGCGGTCGCCCTCTCCGAGTCCGGCCGCCTTTTCCTGGCCTTTGACGGTACTGCACCCCGACGCGTGCGTATCTCACCTATTCCTTCCCTACTGGCCTCCACTCGTTCCTTCAACGCCGGGGTCCTTCCTCAGCTCCCGCAACTCGGCCGCTCACTCCCCGCCTCGAAGGCGTCCGCCTCGCGTTCAGCCCCGCGCGCGCGCCCTCGGCCGCAGCCTGGCGCTCAGCGGACCAGGTTCGCGCCGGCTCGAGTACGCGCCCTGCGCTCCGGCTGGCTGGGGCGCACGCGCACGCGCGGGCTCCGAGGGGCGGCGGGCGGTGCAGCGTGAGTCCGGGCGGGGGTCGCGGGCCGTCTGCCGGCACTCGGGTTCCAGCGGCGCCTGCGAGTGTCTCGCGCCGGCCGGTGGACCTGGGAAGCAGCGAAGCGGGGGTAGGGGCGGGGCGGCCTCGGCCCCGGGAGAGCTGGGGGAGGAGTGCGGCGGCCGCAGCTCCCGAGAAGGAGGCGGAGGCTCTTCCTTCCTCTTCCTAGACCCGGAGCGTCCGGGACGCACCGCCCGGAACTGGGGGACACGGCGGCTGCGGGGAGCCCGGGCTAGGTGAGGCAGCGGGTGTTGCTGGGTGAAGGGGTTAGTGCGGCGGAGACGGGCCGGAGGTGGATGGCGGGCTCTAGGCAGGGAAAGGGGACTGGGGCAGTTGTTGGGGGTTGGGGGACCGAGAGGAGGGGCCCGTGAGCCCTTTGGGACCTGGCTTGCTCCGAGGGTCGAGGGTTTCTGGGGTTTGTGGGGCGGCGAAGCACACGAAGGTCGGAGTTGGGGAGTTTCCAAAGGGTAGGCCCGAGAAACAATGGAGTGCGGGGGACTCTGGTGGGAGCGCCTGTGCGGTGCTGGATTCAAGAAACCACGCGTGAGAGCGAAAAGAATGAAAGAATGGGTCATTGGGATGTGAAGGGCAGTGAGTTGGGGACGTGTAAAGTCTTCTGCATGGGTGTCAGAGGACCTTAAGGATTTGCGTGCCATTATGGGATTAAAGATAAGGGATAGAAGGGCGTTTTTTGGAATTTGAGAGGGAAATGGGAAGAGAGGCAGAGAAATGAGTTTGATTATGAATTAAAACAAGAGTGTAGGGTAGGTGCACTAGAGGGTTATCCTCCCCTAAGTCATCCAAGATGATTGGATTACTTTAGAAAGTCGGTTAGTCTTAGGCTTGGCCCCTTGCTAATAATTTTATTATGATTTGAGGTCCATTTTATTGGTACGGCATACCTGTGATATTAGTTCCCCGTAGGTTCAGGGAATTTAGTGAAGCAGGAGAAGACACGTCACCAGAAATATCTTGCTGTGAGGTCAGTAATATTATGGTGTTCAGGGTGTTTGGACTGAAAAGTAATAAAATCTGAGTTATCTGTCCTCTATTAGAATTTCACTTTCCTACTGAGAAATGTTCAGGTACCTACTATCTGATAATGGTTTTATGCTTGTGGAAGAGTTGGGGTTTTGCCTTGAAATTGTTTAGAGATGCTGACTCCAAGTTATCAAGCTGCCTCATACCTTCCTGTTTGAAATTAATATGATTTGGGAATATTGTGGAAAAGTATTTCTTGGGATATGATCTTTGTATTTCCTCTTCTCTCTCTCTCTCTCTCTCTCTCTCTCTCTCTCTCTCTCTCTCTCTCTCTCTTCCCTGTATGCTACTCCTTTCCACTCTGACTCCTGACTCTGCCTCTGTTCCCTCAGGGCAAAAAATCCTCTTTGTTCCCCTACCCACCTGCTGAGGTCTTTGACTCATCTTTGC